AGATTTAATGCAATTTAAAGATTTACTTATGTATTCAACAGGGACAGTGTACATTAATAACCATTCCTGAAAATGCACCACAATTAGCCAAAGGTTATTTTTCATCTGTTGTTCCTGGACAGATCTTAAAACTGTCTACCTATAAACACAACAGTAAGAATTTAACAGTGAAAAATAAAAATATAAAAAGAAATAAAAATTATTTGACACATTTCTCAATTTGTCTGATTTTTTTATTTTGAAAGTCTGCTTCACCAAATAGTTTATGTTTTTGACACAAAGTTCCTAAAGGAGTGGAATTGTTACCTCAATGCAAATGCTATTGTGGGAATTATGTCGCTGTTATGGACAGTGTTAATATTTCTATAATATAAAGAAAACACTTTCAAACAGTTTTAAGGGTTTATGTAACTGAATAAAAGCAGTTCCTTTGACTCCATCTCATGGCCGCATAACTGTACTGCATAAAAACACCGCTGCTCATTGGAGCCTGCTTCCACTCAAACTACAGATACCTTAATGCTCTACAACCAGTAGAGTAGTAAAATCCATCCATTTAACACACAGCAGATCAATACATCAAATACAAAGACTGAATGACAAGGAGGCAGGTTACTGTTGATACGAAAAGATGTTGGTGAAAGAAACTGAGCTGAACTCAGGATGGAAAAACACAATTATCATCGGACTAACAGGACTATCCTAACGTCTGAAAATGCTTCTTTTAGCTCATTTACTGACTTTTCATCCGTCGGTGTCGAACAGTGCCGCTAGTTACTAAGATGGCGCTTGACCGGGGACAAAAAGCTGGAGTACGCCATATTGTAAACATGAGCACAGTGAACACCATTTTTAGCAACACAGCCTATACAGACTGTAGCAGCCGCGGCGGCAGCAGCTAGTGAGCTAATGCTGCCCCCAACTGGACGAAAGAAGCACCTACAACATTCTTACAAGCCTTTTAATCATATCATTTATCCTACATTAGATTGAATGCATGCCTAATTTAAGCTTCGAGATTCCCCAACAGGATGTAATAATGAAGCTTAAACATCAGCATTTCCCAGTGAATAAGAGAATGTGTTAATAATGTCAATGCTATAGCCGTACAGGAGGCGGTATGGTCGCAAAGGTTTTTTGTTTTGTTTACCGTGAACCAATTTAACACGCTTTCATGTTATGTGTCTCTGTTACTCACCAGCACTGTAAATGAAAAGCAGCTGGGCAGTGGTCGCAGCACAGCAGATCTCCCCCCTCACGGCAGCTATCGCAGGTGTCGTGGTTTGTGGCCCTACCGCTTCTCCGAACGTCTCTTACAAGCTTCCGACTCTTTTTCTCAACATCTTCTGACTTCGGAGGTGCCAACAGAGTTTGGATTTGCTGTCAAATAGATCCCCACCCCCAAAAAACACAATAAATGCACATGCAAATACAAAACAGTCGGAAATGATAGTACCGAGTACCATAAGAAACAGTGAATGGTGCGCGACAAGCAGAGTCAATTTGTGGCCTCTATACCGATTCCCATATACAGACCTTACTGGGAGATCGACATGCTCGACAAAAAACTTGTCGAACCACAATCTTATTTATAATAACCAGAAATCGGTAGCAGAAGAAAACAGAATATAAGCATCGCTGTAGTTCTACTGAGGCCTTCTAGCTTAACAACCTTACCTCCATCAAGCCTCCAGAGGTATCCAAATCGTACACAATCGTCGGCGTCTCCATTTTGTTCCACATTCATCCAGAAGCAACCTCGAAAAAAATAAAAACAAATGGTGGAGCCAAAATCCTTGGGGGAACCCTCTGGTGAACGTAGAGCCAAACGAAAAGTTTAACCCCAATTGCTTAGGTTGCTAAGAGAGCGCTAGCTAGCCAGCTACCTACTGGGACTAGACAGCCAGTCAAGGTTGAGAAGCTAACGGGCTCGTTAGCTTCAGTTGTCGGCTCAAACTAAAACGGCAAAAAAGAACGATAATATCGCTATAAACGCTTATGTTCCAAAGCAGCTGCAAACTATAGACGTATAGACAAGTAATCCAATATTCTACCACCAGTCGACTCTTGCTCATCGTGACAAAAATCTTCTGCGGCCTAGCTGGCAAGGAAAGACTCTTTTTTCTGCTTTAGCGAAAAAACAGTCCAGTAGACCTGCAAACCCATCCTGTTCCATTGTCTAAAGAAAACAGAACTTCAAATATGTGTAAATGTAAGGTTTGCTATCCAATATCCGGATCCGAGGAGGTTGACAAAGTGTAATCCACAGTCCGGAGATGTAAAGATGCAAATATTAGTTGATGTTATTGTTGTGAAAAGGCTGTGCATCTACACTGCCTGCTAACAACATCCTCTTCCAGTTGGCGCAATCGCGAACCGCTGGCTGCGCATGCGCACATTAAAGAATGCAGATGTTTTTCTTTACATATCTTAACATTCAAAATAAATCTTTTTTGTCACTCGCTTTGTGACGAATTTGTTGTTGTAGTCTAATTAGATTAATTAATTGAATGTGTTGACTTTTAAATTAAATAGTTTCAATGTCACTACTGTATGAAGTTTATTTTGTTTGAAAACTATTTGTGGATTGTATGTGTGAATTTGAAGCTGTAGAGAGAGTTTTGTATTTGTAGAATCAAAAAAATCCACACTTTTTTCTTTATACCTGCACATAAAAAAACTAATAATGTAAGACGTTTTTGATGTGCAACTTGTAGAACAGAAGTTGTTTACTTGTACTAAAAATGTGAACATAAAAAAAAAAGTACTTTTTGTATTTTCTTTACATTCTACAAATACAAACCTTAGACTGTAACTCTCTCTATAACTTCAAATTCACACCTACAATGCAAATTGTTTTCAGATTCTAGGTTCAGAAATCTGGAAACTCCCTAAATAAATTGTAATCTTTTATCACACAAGCATTTTTCTAGCCTAGTTTGTGCTTTGTGAATTTAGAAATTGACTGTAAATATACCTCTTAAATGTCGTGGCAGGTGGCAAAACTGGACCTCTTTATTAAAATACGTTTGGAATCTCTTACACATATAGAATTAAAAAATAAATAAATAAATAAAAAACAATAAGAAAATAATAGTTTGACTTTCTTTTCTAAGAATCAAAAACATTTTTAGGTATAGACCAGGGGTCTGCAACCTTTCATATCCAAAGAGCCGTTTTGCCCAGAGTACGACCAAATAAAAGTTGTTTAGAGCCGCAATTAATAACATGACTTTTTCTAGAAAACCTTTTTTTTTTAAAAGCTTGTATAGCAAATTAGTTGTTGCCATCTCAAACAACAAATTCATATATTTTTAATGTTAAAGCATATAATACTCCAGCTAATTCATAGAGAAATGTCTCTGAAAATATATTTCTGTTTCTTTTAAACCCATTCTCTTCCATCTTATAAAAAACGCTAAAGCTATTGATACCGGTATATATTATAGTAAATTATTTAGCTCTTTATATACATTTTAGCCAGTATTAAGAGCCGGTGGAGAGTGTCCAAAGAGCCATATGTGGCTCCGGAGCCGCAGGTTGCAGACCCCTGGTATAGACTAACCAATGAAATACTGTTCCACTTTAAAGGTATAGTGGAGGATTTTTGTGAATTTTTGAAAAGACCCTCCCTCTCCAATTAAAAAAAAATAAACCACATGAACAACCCTGTACCTGAGAGGGAACGCCTATTAAACGCGTGCTATGGGAACAGAGCGTGCACGAGGAGAAATGGGCTTGTGCACGCTCTGTTCCCATAGCTCATACAAGCTTACTGTGCCCGAATGTCACCCCTAAACCCTAAATCCCTCAATCACTATATAGAGCAGGGACTATATAGTGGACTTTATACTGAACTCAGTTAACTGACTGTTCGGACAGATAATCTCTGCTTTGTTCTCTCCGTTGGTCACATAACTTCTCCACTGCGTGGGGTCTGTGCCATCTTTGTTATTAGTCTCTGCTGTCAGGTAGCAACAGCCTAAGAAGAATTTTGCTGTGGCAGTAAGTCCCATAATGCTTTGCCAGGAGAGCTCTCTCTCTTTCTTTTCTTCTTATACACTTCGTAGACACTTTTTCTCTTATAAACTTTGGCCATTTTCAAAGAACCGCGGTGAGAAAAGTGAGATTCAATGGCTGTCTAAAACCGTAGCTCACCGCAGATATTCACCTGAAAGTGTGCATGTGCAGAAAAAGATAGCTAACGAGATAAGTACGTAGGACGGCCTTACATAAACATATCACCAGAATGATTGACAGTTAGGAGGACCACTTATTTAGATGATCCACTTGGGAATAGATCGTCCTTTATATTTTTAATAAGTACCCAGCAGAGTTTAAAAAAAAACACTCGGATCACTCTGGACAACATCGTCACTCTCAGTCCACTTTGGAGAAGGATAGCCGCCGCAACAGAGCAAAGAAAAATTTTAACCCCACAATCTCCATTCCTGTCTGCCTTAGATTTATTGAACATTTTGGAAGAGCTGGAGGGAAATGATCAGGCTGCCGTTGCTCACCTTTTTGGTAAGCCACCTCCACCTCGACCTCAACTATTTACTTCACCGGCAGCTGCTGCCTGTTCTGCCTCTCCTTCATCAGTTCCATCCACTACTGGATTCCACCTCCTTGACCAACAGCTAGTCTCAAACATAAGAAAACTCAAACCAGGTCCTAATATCACACCTTCCGGCAGTCAGAGCTCCACATCTCGAGGAGTCCCAGTTATAGAACTTCTTTTATGGGGAAAGGGAAGACCTTTTCCCTTTCCTGCCATCTCCATCAGCTCCCCGCCAGCCAGTAGATCCCAAGCCAGAGCCCTTTAGCGGACCAGATCCTCAGCCAGAGCCCTTTAGCGGACCAGATCCTTAGCCAGAGCCCTTTAGCGGGTCAGATCCCAAGCCAGATCCGGAGCCTTTTAGTGGGCCAGATCCCGAGCCAAAGCCTTTTAGCGGGCCAGATCCCGAGCCAAAGCCCTTTAGCGGGTCAGATCCCGAGCCAGAGCCCTTTAGCGGGCCCGATCCTGAGCCCTTTTGTGGGCCAGTCCCCCTAGTGCCGGAGCCCATTTGCGGGCCAGTCCCCCTAGTGCCAGAGCCCAGTAGCGAGCCAGTCCCCGAACCAGAACCCCCTAGCATGCCAGTCACCCAACTAGAACCAATGAGCATCTCCCCTCCTTGTTTCGTGCCCTCCTCCCTGGTTCCCCCTCCGTCCACCCTGGGTGGGTTGCTTTGTGTTTTTAACTTTTTTTTGTTTTGTGCCCTCCTTCCTGGTTCCCCCTCCGCCTATCCTGTGTGGCTTGTTTTTGTTTTCGGACATTTTAGGGCATCTAGAATCCGCCATCAAGTGGGGGGTACTGTTATGGTCTTGGATCTGTTAAGGGAGAAAGCCGTTATTTATTGTTTTTTTTTTTTTGCATTGGGCCCTTGATTTTACGTTATCACATCATGTTCTGACCCATATGAGTTTTGTGTCATTTGGAGATGTTCTGAAGGTATTCTGTTAGGTTATATCCAAGTAACGTCTTCCTATGGGCAACGAGTTGAAGGCACAAACTAAACTGTTCACAATTTATCATTTATGGCATTTTTGGCATCCCAGCATTCATAACATGTAGGCGAATTACTGTCCCCCAGACATCCGCGGTTAGATTTTTTCTACTTTAATAACTGTCTTTTTATTGAGTTTTCCTTTTATACATACAGTTTGTAAATACAAAAAAACATTTATCCAGCAAAGATAGACATAAAATATACAGAAAAATCAATCCCTACAAGAAAATCCCATTTAGCCCACCCAGGTCACTACCAAGAGGTCAACGCACTACTTTCCTATCCCTGACTGAAACAGAACACATTTTATTAAATCTAATAAACCTTTTTAATCCGGAGCATTATTGTAAGTTTTGGAATGAGTCAAGAAAGGGCCCCCATATTTCTTCAATTTACCAGTTGAATGTCGAATAGAACACCTAATTTTTTCCAGTTTCAGACACGACATGAGGTCACATAACCACTGCTTGTGAGTTGGAAGAGCCACACCCTTCCACCTGGTCAGAACTGTGCGCCTCGGTCAGAACAGTGAACAGCTTGCCATTGCCTGTTGTTTAGAGGCTGATAAAGGCAACCCCTCACCACTAAAACCAAACAGAGCCAGGAGACGGCCAGGTGTTACCACCACTCCCGCCAACCTGGACATTGTATGAAAAAAATTCCATGGTCTCTCCCAGTGTCTGGACCCCCGGGGGGAGAACATAGAAAAGGTAGGTAAGTCCTAGCACCACAACACTTTTTTTGCACTCACTTCTAACAGACTTTACACTAACTTTTGCTGAAGTTTCTAAACAGTAACCCTTGCTTACTCTAAACATCAATTCTCTTTTCCACAGACAACCACCCCACTTGTTAATGGAGAGCAGCTGTGGAGAGCCTGGAGCAAAAGGCTACATGCTAGCTATTAAAACACACAATAAATATTCAATAAACATTTTAAAAACCTTGTGTGCAAATTGTTCTTTAAGTACAAATCTATTCTTAAACTGCAGTGCTAAATAAAGTGTCCTAGTGCTAACCAAGCTAGTTTTTAATAAAGTGCAAAGGCCCCTTTAAAGCTACAGTGTGTAATTTTTAGCGACATCTAACGTTCAGACTGCAAACCGCAGCAACATGAACATCTCCCCCCCACCGCTTCTCCCCCCAACAGTACGGCGAGCGTTACGGGACAAAATGTCTTCCACGACATCCGCATCGCCTACCTTCTCAAGTGATGAGGTTTGTTTACATAGATAATTTGAATACTGCCATCTATTGTTCAGTACCGTCTCAGTTCATCTCTCTCAACTTGCCGTAGTTACTTTCGAGCGTAATGGG